TGGCATAACACAATAAACACGAACTCAGTACCTAACCTAACCTAACCTAACCAAACATAAGATTAAATACACCTAAAGTGAAGACTACACTGTATGATACTAGTAAACATGGTGGCTCAGTCATGTCTACGTTGTCATTGTCCGCTTTGCACAGCGTCTGTATTTTTCTAGCTAAATAATTTTTTTAATGTCAATATCAGAAATATGATAAAACACGAAATTCATACATGACAAGATCACAGAAAATGGTCTATGAAGACGAAAGGAAATTTACTTAACAGAAAAGGTTCAAGGAAGTCCCGTTGTTTACTGAGAAAGGGTTCTCCTTAGTGGCCAACACAGTCTCTATTATCAGGAACTGTGGAGGGTTGGTGACCACTGTGCCGGCGCTATGTACTGTATGTAGATGGCGTTTTAATTCTCATCTTATTAACCTGTTGTTTTTATCTGTGTACTGCAGTGAGTGGGTCAGAAAAGTTAACAATACAGATGTTAAAATTGTTCTTTTTTTTCACCTTATCTTCTTGTCGACCTTTTTTTTAACTTGCAAATATTTGACTTAACATAAGGTTGTCTGCTATATCTATATTTTCCTTACTTTATTTACTGATTTTATCATAACTGAACAAATCAAAGTCTTGTTTATACATATCAATAATTATGGCCATTAAGTCTTTGGGGACGTCTTCAAAGTACTGAAGGTCAGACTTATCATGTAATGCTCCGATGGATTTGTGTTTCCTCGGAATGGTGTTTTCCTGAAGGTGCAGGAGGCCCAGAAGGTACTCCGCTTCCTTGGGGTTCTCATGCCGCACGATGTACTTGTAGTCAGCTGTACATGGACCACACAGTTGGCTAATGGGGGTCCAGTGATGGTCTAACAGGTCCACGTCCCTGGTCCATAATACGTGCTCAAGGAACTCTGCCATAGTGAAGGAGGCGTTACTGAAATACTTCTTTAGTTTACTTTGTTCCGTCGTGGAGTACCCAATGTTGACAGCAGCAACGACACCAACGTGTTTGCCTACTGTCAGCATCTTCTTGGCTAACGTTATAAACTTTCTCTCGGGGTTAGACGATGCTTTCTTGGTTTCATTAAGACGATGGCGGCTAAACGTCCCAAAACGCTTCCCTGTCAGAAAGCCATATGCCTGCGAAACCTTTTTTAGTGTTGTGAGGTACTGAGGGGAAGGTGCGACGGATCCTTTGTGTATGAGAGCTGGAAGCCAGTATTCCTGCCATCTATCATTCCACGTCTGATGACTTCCCGTTACTTTCCTGTAGGCCTTGTCGTAGGTATTAAGTGGAGACCCATTTAGGTACTTGTCTCTATAATGAAAGAACAATGTTGTTGAAGTTATTATATATTTATGAAGAGCGTATTCTAGGTTAGTAAATACACTAAGTCATCAACAATTAAAAATCAAGAGAGCCATCACATTTGAATCTTAATGATGATAGTTACTGAAGAATGACCGATAATGAAACTTTTATACCATATCAACTGAGAAAACTATAAGTATGAACTCAAAATATTTTCGTGAGTCATGAGTAGACAATGGTGAAGCGTACAAGTAAACAACACTCTGATTGGATGAAACTTATTCTTAGGCTGTACAGACAAGCTAACTCTTATTACCAAGGTTTCACCAACTTACTTGTAAGCTGAAACCAGACGACCAAGAGGATGCCTCACAACCAGAGTCTTTAGGTCTTGTAGGCTGCCTGGAATCCTTGCACACGCTTGACTCATGAAGGATTTCCATGCTGTTGATCCAACCTGTGTGTGTGTGTGTGAGAGTAGAAGGACAATACTCGCTTATGAAGACGATTGTGTCACATAATTCAGAATATCACTGTGTGTGTGTGTGTGTTGAATTGTGAATTATATGCATCGGTCTTGTATGCACACTACCGAAAGGCATAGAAAGGCAGAGATATTTTTTTCTTCAGATATCCGGGAGAGGTTGTGTCAGGTGAGGGAATAATATTTTAAGTGAAAGATCAATGAAAGTAATATATTCACTGACAGAACAACAGAAGAGGGAAAGATGAGCATGAACAAGGGAAGTTGTTCAGTACACATTATTGTTTAGACTTAGGTGTAGAAATGCACTTTGGATGTACACTATATACTGGATGTGTAAGGCAAGAGAAGCCAGGGCTTATTTCTTTACTTGTGCTAATCCCAGACTTAATTGTTGCTTCCCCAGGGGTGTAATTATCGCAATCGATCATCAGATGTTATCCCACAATTAGTATATAACACAACCCGTTACTACCACACCACAAATAAATAAAAAACACTTTAACCACAGTATCTTTTCACTTGGCTCTTCAGGCTTATCATCACTACTGCTTGTTGACGCTACGTGTGGCTGCTGGGTTGTCATGTCATCCAGTTATTTATCTTCTTGGGAGACCAATGATCTTGGAACCTTATCCAGACTTTCCTGTAGTTCCTGTATTTGGGAGACCACTTAATCTGTAACGTTGCTCCGTTATATCTATTGTACCTGTATTTTGGAGGACCATTGTGATTGTTCTGGCTCCTCCACCTCTAGTTAAAATGTTGGCAGTTCCCTCTCTACTGTCGTTTAGTTTTCTGAAATTGTATCTATGTCTTGGAAATCATCTTCGTCATCATCGTCATCATCGTCTTCTCCAGCTACTGTTAATATTATTTTTACAAAATTTGATTTTTCGAGGCAAATCTCAAAACTCAACTACCTGCTTATTATGTTCATGTAAGGGGGGGGGGGTCTTACTTTAGTTCGCCCCCATAGTGCAGTCACCATGTTTTTGGTCAATCTGTATATCAGTGGATAAGGGCACTGGCACTTCATGGTACTGGTTCCCTTATCTTTTATCTGTACCGAAAGCGAGTTTGGTCGTTTTCACTCAAGGTAACTGTCCATAGCGGCTTCCTTAAGTCTAATCCAACTTTATCCCTTTTCGTTCTCAGTCATGGGCATTCCGGGGTTATTAAATTGGAGACATCCCATCGAGTTTTAGTCCTTAAATACCAAAATTTTTCATCGTCGATATGTTTTGTAAAAGTTTTGAGGGACGTCTCTGATTGAGCAGCCTTCGAGCAAAATCTTCTCCACTTTAGCCTTACCTCTGAATCTCCATCAAGTTAGCTAAGGAAAGTAAACATTTCGAAGTTGAGTTTCAGTGGGCCTATCTCCTGGTAAACACAGTCCTGAAAACATAGTTACCATTTGTGTTTGTCCAGATGCGATGAGGGAATATCTGTTTTCCTGCAGAACCAAGGACAACACATCCTAGCAGTTCTCTTATACTTCACACCGATAGTGGAAGGTTTGGGTGGTTTGCTTGGGCTGTTTGGAACAATTAACAATGCGCGGCACATCATTATCGTTACATTAACTAATAATTTTACATTAATACCTGAATTGTAATAAAATCTGCTTGTAGTTAACATGTAGTACTGGTGTTGTAGTGAACATGTAGTACTCGTGTTGTAGTGAACATGTAGTACTAGTGTTGTAGTGAACCTGTAGTACTAGTGTTGTAGTGAACATGTAGTACTAGTGTTGTAGTGAACATGTAGTACTAGTGTTGTAGTGAACATGTAGTACTAGTGTTGTAGTGAACCTGTAGTACTAGTGTTGTAGTGAACATGTAGTACTAGTGTTGTAGTGAACATGTAGTACTAGTGTTGTAGTGAACATGTAGTACTCGTGTTGTAGTGAACATGTACTACTAGTGTTGTAGTGAACATGTAGTACTAGTGTTGTAGTGAACATGTAGTACTCGTGTTGTAGTGAACATGTAGTGTTGTAGTGAACATGTAGTACTAGTGTTGTAGTGAACATGTAGTACTAGTGTTGTAGTGAACATGTAGTACTAGTGTTGTAGTGAACAGTACTAGTGTTGTAGTGTGGTGTTGTAGTCTACATGTGTACGTGTTGTATTGGACATGTAGTACTAGTGTTGTAGTGAACATGTAGTACTAGTGTTGTAGTAAACATGTAGTACTGTGTTGTAGTGAACATGTAGTACTAGTGTTGTAGTGAACATGTAGTATGGTAGTGTTGTAATAAACATGTAGTACTAGTGTTGTAGTGAACATGTAGTACTAGTGTTGTAGTAAACCTGTAGTACTAGTGTTGTAGTGAACATGTAGTACTAGTATTGTAGTGAACAGTGAACATGTAGTGCTAGTGTTGTAGTGAATATGTAGTACTAGTGTTGTAGTGAACATGTAGTACTAGTGTTGTAGTGAACATGTAGTACTAGTGTTGTAGTGAACATGTAGTACTAGTGTTGTAGTGAACATGTAGTACTGGTGTTGTAGTGAACATGTAGTACTGGTGTTGTAGCAACATGTAGTACTGGTGTTGTAGTGAACATGTAGTACTAGTGTTGTAGTGAACCTGTAGTACTAGTTAGTGAACATGTAGTACCAGTGTTGTAGTGAACATGTAGTACTAGTGTTGTAGTGAACATGTAGTACTAGTGTTGTAGCAACATGTAGTACTAGTACAGTGAACATGTAGTACTAGTGTTGTAGTGAACATGTAGTACTAGTGTTGTAGTGAACATGTAGTACCAGTGTTAGTAGTGAACATGTAGTACTAGTGTTGTAGTGAAACCTGTAGTACTAGTGTTGTAGTGAACATGTAGTACTAGTGTTGTAGTGAACATGTAGTACTGGTGTTGTAGTGAACATGTAGTACTAGTGTTGTAGTGAACATGTAGTACTAGTGTTGTAATGAACATGTAGTACTAGTGTTGTAGTGAATGTGTTACTAGTGTTGTAGTGAACATGTAGTACTGATGTTGTAGTGAACATGTAGTACTAGTGTTGTAGTGAACATGTAGTATTAGTGTTGTAGTGAACATGTGGTACTAGTGTTGTAGTGAACATGTAGTACTGGTGTTGTAGTGAACATGTAGTACTAGTGTTGTAGTGAACATGTAGTACTAGTGTTGTAGTGAACATGTAGTACTGGTGTTGTAGTGAACATGTAGTACTAGTGTTGTAGTGAACATGTAGTACTGGTGTTGTAGTGAACATGTAGTACTGGTGTTGTAGTGAACATGTAGTACTGGTGTTGTAGTGAACATGTAGTACTGGTGTTGTAGTGAACATGTAGTACTAGTGTTGTAGTGAACATGTAGTACTAGTGTTGTAGTGAACATGTAGTACTAGTGTTGTAGTGAACATGTAGTACTGGTGTTGTAGTGAACATGTAGTACTGGTGTTGTAGTGAACATGTAGTACTGGTGTTGTAGTGAGCATGTAGTTCAAGTGTTGTAGTGTACATGTAGTACTAGTGTTGTGGTTAACATGTAGTACTAGTGTTGTAGTGAACATGTAGTACTGTTGTTGTAGTGAACATTTAGTACTAGTGTTGTAGTGAACATTTAGTACTAGTGTTGTAGTGAACATGTAGTACTAGTGTTGTGGTTAACATGTAGTACTAGTGTTGTAGTGAACATGTAGTACTGGTGTTGCATGTAGTTCAAGTGTGGTAGTGTACATGTAGTACTGGTGTTGTAGTGAACATTTAGTACTAGTGTTGTAGTGAACATGTAGTACTGGTGTTGTAGTGAACATTTAGTACTAGTGTTGTAGTGAACATGTAGTACTAGTGTTGTAGTGAACATGTAGTACTGGTGTTGCATGTAGTTCAAGTGTGGTAGTGTACATGTAGTACTGGTGTTGTAGTGAACATGTAGTTCAAGTGTTCTAGTGAACATGTAGTTCAAGTGTGGTAGTGTACATGTAGTACTGGTGTTGTAGTGAACATGTAGTACTAGTGTTGTAGTGAACATGTAGTACTGGTGTTGTAGTGTAGTGTACATGTAGTACTGGTGTTGTAGTGAACATGTAGTACTAGTGTTGTAGTGAACATGTAGTACTGGTGTTGTAGTGAACATGTAGTACTGGTGTTGTAGTGAACATGAAGTGATGGTTGTTTGTGGAAAATTATAACAAATTTCAATCTTTCCACGTTTAACATTTCCAGCATCGGACCAGTTAAACGACCCACCCACCCCATGTCTTTCTATGTAATAAGTCATTTTTGTCCAATGTATATTTTCAGTCTTCGGGCTGCCGACTTTTTCAATAAACCGTTAATTATTATTATTATTATTATTATTATTATTATTATTATTATTATTATTATTATTATTATTATTATTATTATTATTACACACACATACACACCTTAGGAGCAACACACACGGGGATGGGACAGACTAGGGTGTGTATTCTCATCATCCAGGGTCGAGCCGGGTTAAGTTGTTTCACTTGAGGTCGCCGACACTCCCTGGCCAGGTGTTCAGCCCTCTCTCTAATCACCTGGCCAGCTGACTCTTCCTCGCTGACCTGGATCTGATTTGACCTTCCGCTGTTGTCTTTACGAGAGACCTGCATGACGGGTGCCGGTGACAGATAAAAGTGGTGACCCCTCAGTATCTGTTTAACGACTATCTCCTGACTGTGGCCCTGATTATCTGCTGGCTGTGGCCCTGACTGTGACCCTAATTGCCTCCTGACTGTAGCGCTGATTATCTCCTGTGGCCCTGATTATCTCCTGACTGTGGCCCTGATTGTCTCCTGAATGTGGCCTAATGATCTCCCGACTGTGGCCCTGATTGTCTCCTGACTGTGGCCCTAACTGTCTCCGAACTGTGGCCCTGATTATCTCCCGACTGTGGCCCTGACTGTCTTATTACTGTGACCCTGATTATCTCCTAACTGTGGCCCTGATTATCTCCTAACTGTGGCCCTGATTATCTCCTAACTGTGGCCCTGATTATCTCCTAACTGTGGCCCTAATTATCTCCTAACTGTGGCCCTGATTATCTCCTAACTGTGGCCCTGATTATCTCCTAACTGTGGCCCTGATTATCTCCTAACTGTGGCCCTGATTATCTCCTAACTGTGGCCCTGATTATCTCCTAACTGTGGCCCTGATTGTCTCTCATTCAGAAAGTGTCCCCCTTACCTGGTCACTGTGAAGGAGACGCCACATGAGGGTACCGGCAGCCACCATGAACATTATCAACACCGATGTTACTCTGTTGTGATGCTTCATCTTTCTTCTGTGTGTACTGTTACTTTATTGTTCATTTCTGTTGACATTTTCTGTTTCCATGACTCCTGTTCTCTTTCTTTGACTGAATCCTGTTGAGCGCCGTCTATTCACTGACCGGGGTTAAAAAAAACTCTGTAATTAAGTGTGTGCTGTTTACCTGTAAGTGTCTGTTGTTTACCTGTGAGTGTGTTATTTGCCTGTAAGTGAGTGTGTGTTGTTTACCTGTAAGTTTGTCTGTTGTTTACCTGTAATTAAGTGTATGTCTTGTTTATCTGTAAGTCTGTGTTGTTTACCTATAAGTGAACACTGTGTCTCGCTGAGGTAAGGCTTTTGATCGATAGTTTCAGCGGGAAAAAACATTACCATCTCACATACTTCACCTTAGCGGCCTCACACACTTCATCTTAGCGGCCTCACACACTTCACCTTAGCGGCCTCACACACTTCACCTTAGCGGCCTCACACACTCACACGCCCCACACACACACTCTCACCTCACCACACACTTCACCTTAGCGGCCTCACACACACACACTAAGGCCCACACACTTCACCTTAGTGCCTCACACACACTTCACCCAGCGGCCCACACACTTCCCTCACCACACTTCAGCGGCCTCACACACACACAGCGCCCCACACACTTCACCCTATACACTTCACCTTAGCGGCCTCACACACATCACACACTTACCTTGGGCCTCACACTTAGGCCCTCACACACTCACCTTAGCACCTTCAGCCCACACACTGGCCCTTCACACACTTCACCTTGGCCCACACACTTCACCCAGCGGCCTCACACTTCACCTTAGCTGGCCTCACACACTTCACCTTAGCGGCCCACACACTTCACCTCTTCACCTTCCACACACACTTCACCTTAGCGGCCTCACACACTTCACCTTGTGGCCTCACACACTCTCACCACTTAGCGGCCCACACTTCACCCTAGCGGCCTCACACTTCACTTGACCCCACACACTTCAGCGGCCCTCACACACTTCACACCAGCGGCCTCACACACTTCACCTTAGCGGCCTCACACACTTCAACGGCCTCACACACTTCACCTTAGCGGCCTCACACACTTCACCTTAGCGGCCTCACACACGGCGGCCTTTCACCTTAGCGGCCTCACACTTCATCTTAGCGCCTCACACACTTCACCTTAGCGCCTCCCCACACTTCACTTAGCGGCCTCACACATCTTCACCCTCACACACACACTTCAGCGGCCCACACACACACGTCACCTTCCTTAGCGGCCTCCACACTTCACTTAGCACTTAGGCCTCACACACCCCTTAGCGGCCTCACACACTTCACACCTCACACACCTTAGCGGCCTCCACACACACCTTACTTCACCTTAGCGGCCTCACACACTTCAATCCTTAGCGGCCTCACACACTTCTTTAGCGGCCCCACACTTCACCTTAGCGGCCTCACACACTTCATCTTAGCGGCCTCACACACTTCATCTTAGCGCCCTCACACACTTCATCTTAGCGGCCTCACACACTTTCATCTTAGCGGCCTCACACACTTCATCTTAGCGGCCCACACACACTTAGCACACTTCATGTACTTCACACCTCACACACTTCACCCTTTCAGCGGCCTCACACACTTCAGCGCGGCCTTCACCTTAGCACACTTCACCTTATGCCTCACACAGCCCACACACTTCACCTTAGCGGCCTCACACACTTCACCTTAGCGGCCCCACTTCACCTTAGCGGCCCCACACGCACCTTAGCGGCCTCACACACTTCTTAGCGGCCCCCACACACACTTCACCTCTTAGCGGCCTCACACCTTAGCGGGCCCCCCACACACTTCATCTTAGCGGCCTCTACACAGCGCTTAGCGGCCCACACTTCATCTTACAGCGGCCTCACACACTTCACCTTAGCGGCCTCACACACCGCCCCTTCACCTTAGCGGCCTCCACACTTCACACCTTAGCGGCCTCACACTTCACCTTAGCGGCCTCACACACTTCACCTTAGGCGCCTTCACCGGCCTCACACACTTCAGCGGCCCCCACCTTAGCGGCCCCACACACACTTCACTTAGCGGCCTCACACACTTTCATAGCGCCTCACACTTCACTTAGCGGCCTCACACACTTCACCTACACTTAGCGGCCTCCACACACGTCCCCACACAGCGGCCGCGGCCTCACACACACTTCACCAGCGGCCCCACGGCCCCACACACTTCAGCGGCGGCCTCACACACCTTAGCGGCACACACTTCACCTTAGCGGCCTCCACACACTTCACCTTAGCGGCCTCACACACTTCACCTTAGCGGCCTCAGCGGCCTCACACACACTTCACCTTAGCACACACTTCACCTTAGCGGCTCACACACTTCACCATGGCGCGGCCTCACACACTTCCTTAGCGCACCACACACTTCACACTTAGCGGCCTCACACACTTCACCTTAGCGTCAGCGCCCACACACTTCACCCATGCGGCGGCCCCACCTCCACACACTTCACCTAGCGGCCCCACACACTTCTTAGCGGCCTCACACTTCACACACACTTCATCTTAGCGGCCTCCACACACTTCATCTTAAGCTTACACACTTCATCTTGCGGCCTCACACACTTCATCTTAGCGGCCTCACACACCTCATCTTAGCGCCTCATCTTCATCTTAGCGGCCTCACACACTTCATCTTTGGCCTCACACACTTCACCTTAGCGGCCTCACACACTTCACCTCACACACTTCAGCGGTCTCACACACTTCACCTTAGCGGCCTCACACACTTCACCTTAGCGGCCTCACAGCGGCCTCACACACTTCACCTTAGCGGCCCCACACACTTCACCTAGCGGCCTCACACACTTCACCTTCAGCGGCCTCACACTTCACACACTTCATCTTAGCGGCCTCCACACACTTCATCTTAGCGGCCTCACACACTTCACCTTAGCGGCCTCACACACTTCATCTTAGCGGCCTCACACACTTCACCTTAGCGGCCTCACACACACTTCACCTTAGCGGCCTCACACAGCGGCCCCACACTTCATCTTAGCGGCCTCCACACTTCATCTTCACACTCACCTTAGCGGCGGCCTCACACACTTCCACCTAGCGGCCTCACACACTTCACCTTAGCGGCCCCACACACTTGTGGCCTCCACACACTTCACCTTAGGGCCTCACACACTTCACCTTCGCGGCCCCCACACACTTCACCTTAGCGGCCTCACACACTTCACCTTAGCGGCCTCACACACTTCATCTTAGCGGCCTCACACACTTCACCTTAGCGGCCTCAAACATATGCCTCATTTACCCAGCCACAGTATAAAGGTAGCTGCACACTGGGCGCTTTTTCCCCAGTGTGCCGCCGCCTTACCACACCACGAGCTCTGTCACTGGTGCTTCCTGCTCAAACTTCTCTAACTCACTGCTTGCTGGCCGTATCGTGGTAATTCAGAATACGTGTGTCTTCTGATACGAGAAAGCGCTTGGGTGTGTAGGTTGCGGTTGTGGTGTGTGAAGTAGACGGTGGAGTAGTGTATTATTAACATGTTGCGTGTCTAGCGGTTGTTCAATTGCGTGAACGGGAAGCAAAAAAATTCCCGTATTCTCCGCCAATTGGCTTCTAGAAGCTTCTCTGTGTGGTGGCGCTCATTATCAACAACACTCGTGTATAGTCGCCTGCACTTATATTGTCCCTGGTACAGTGACTGGCGGGTGTTGTTTGTTGACGTCGCAGTATCGAGGTGATGGGTAGAATCGACCTCTTTATAGTGGTCTGATAACGGTGCAAAGGAAAGTTATTTTCTCTCTCTAACAATGCTGATACTTACTTTATGGCTACAGATTACATTACCAGTACCAAATATAACGCTATTGCCAACTGTCAGATAAAAGTGGGCTGGCAGTGGTGGTGACCAGGTGGTGTGATGTAAAGCCCCGTTCACACTATCGGACAGGTGACTGGCGGTCTGTCGGGCATGACTGTGATGTTGTCCACACTGCTGAGTAGGTGGTCAGGCAGTAAAGTCAGGCAGTAGGTGCACTAGGTGGTCGGCAGCCCCTGAGTGCGGTATCACCATGCGCAACACAGTTGGAAAGAAGAAAATAGCGCTGTATAGCGTATTAATTTGCTGTATTTGTAAAACAGAAAAGTAAGGACAGGGTGCAGAAAACGATCTGGTGTAAAGAGTGGTTAAGTAGGAGAGAAGTATTGGGAAGTCATATGACGATATTACGTGAACTACAAGATGGAAGTGAGCGTGATGTCACCAACTACATGAGAATATCAACGCCTTTTACACACTCCTAGCTAAAGTGGAACCAATCATAGCAGAGGAAGATGCCCATCTGAGGCACCAGCAGCAGCAGCCCAACGCTCAGACAGATTTGTAGCAAATGGGTGCACATAACTCGTCACTGCAGTATACCACGAGGATATCAAAAACAGAGTTTGTCCCTCATAATTCCAGAAACATGTGAATCTATATATGCTATACATTGTTTATATAGTATTATTGATTGACACCACTGTAGTGTAAAGAAATAAACTGTTTGTTGTATAAAGTAATTACATACACTCCAAGACGTATGTACAAGACTCTCCATAAAATAACTTAAATATCAATAGTGATCATTCTGTATTGTACCCGTCGTCGTCGGTCCATGCCGGGCTGTCCGCTGGTTTGCCCGTCAAAGTTGCCACGAAGTGTACGATGACGGTCTCATCACTCGTGCCCGACGGTCACTGTCCGATAGTGTGGACGGGGCTTAAGGAGACAAAGGGGGGGGGGTTGGGAGGGGGGTCCATGTCCTGGGTGGGTTGGGGAGGAGGAAGGGCCGCGGTGGTGGCAGCAGTGTGTAGCTCATCAGAACACTTGTAGAAATATTTATAGAATAATTATGATGAGATATTGCTGTGAGTTCTGCAGTGCTGGATATTTTCTAGTAAGATTATTATTATTATTATTGATGGTTTCACTTTTCTTCTTTTAATTGAAGGTGTAAAATGAACCAACACCACACTTGGTATATTAATGTATTTTTATAATTATTATTATTAACATTACTGTTATTAGTAGTAATAAGTTTTATCGTGTATAGTAATTATCACTAGTCTTGGTACGCCAGGTAAACACTTTAATGAAACACAGGTAACATAATTAACGGTGTATTTAATACTGATTCCCTATGTACATCTTAAAGTTGTACACCATCTGTTGTCTCACATAGATAACACTAATACTATACACAACATATTAACGCTTCTTATAAGACTAATCTAACATCACAGAAGTATTATTTGGTTAGGTCATGACTGTACTCTGAAGGTAATGCTGTTAATAGAGCAATAATTACATGGAGGATATCATTTACCTTTTTGTTCAGTAAAAGAGGATAAATGGTAGGTGTTGAATGTGGATTCTGCTTTAAAACATCATTTAATTATTAAAGGAATTAGTGCTACAAGAGACACAGATAAATTAATTAAATACCACAGAAAGGAAAATATTTAGGCCAGTTGTGAAGCAGAAGAGAAGACAAGAGGATTTTGACAACCCTCCCGTGACACCAGGAGTCGCAGAGTTTATTTTGAAACTCGTCGGTAAGTAAAGATACTTTTTAAAGTGTGTGTACAATGAAAGACAAAAGTCGTGTGGCGAAATTTGGTTGGAAGATATGCCGACGGACTAAACTTTTGATGCTTGACAACCACGAGTAAGTAACTGTGGTAAGAGGCTCTCATAATGTTTCACGAGTTATATTTAATCTTCGGACAAAACCGCGACACGACTTTTGTCTTTGATTGTGCATCTAGACTTAAATCATTCACTAGATCAGCAAGTAACACATTTCTATTCAACTCCAGGGTTTAAGAGTAGTGATCACTGCTTAATTACCATATTGTTGGCATTATTGATCAAACACTAGCATCTTGGTGTGTGGCAGAGCAATATTGTGTTTCAGTGAGGGTGTTTTCTTAAACTTGGTTAGGTTAGGTTGGATTAGCTGTCGATTTTAGCAATTATAAGAATTTAGTGAATGTTTCAGAGATCACCTTAGATACGTGAAATCCCGAGGTACAGATGAAGGTATCACAGCTCCGGGTACAGGCATTCCACCTCGGGGCTGAAGGCATGGGAGTGAAACAGTGAAAAATACATTGTTTGGATCAGATACAAACAATAAAGGGGGTAAAAAAATAAACGAACTCTACTGAGTGTCAGGCAGTATTGTTGTGCAGCCACCGTAAACCGGGAAATCCACGGTTTCACGCCAATGACTACCACGCTGTGATGCCACGTCTCGTACCAGAGCCTTTACATACTCCCAAGCCACGGTGCGTTCATGCGGAGGTAACTCTACATATTTTAGGGACTCCATGAAATCCTTAGGTATGTAATTTAAGGATTACTTGAATTCCCTAGTTACGCAGATTCCCTGCAACATATTGACGACTTCACTGCTTTAGAAACTATTTTCATGATACCCAAAAAGTTTAAATTCCAGTATATATATATTAACAATTCTGTCAATTAATTTCTTGGGGATATTCGCAAAGAACGAACGATTAGTATTGTTCGTCGTGACTCCTATGGACCTGTGCTTCCAGGGGAGGGTGTTGTTCTCGAGCAGGAGGCCGAGCACATAGTTGGCCTCATCCGGGTTCTCCAAATGCACAACATATTTATAGTCACCTCCACAGGGATTACACAGCTCACTGATGGGTGTCCAGTGACGATCTACCAGCCCCTTGTCCCAAGTCCACAACAGGTGGTGAAGGAAGTCTTCCATAGTGAAGGAGAAGTTTATAAACTGTTTCTTGAGGTTATTTTGCTCTTCAATAGAATAACCGTCATTAACAGCAGCGATAACTCCTAAATGCCTCCCTTGTTCCAGCATCCTCTTGGCTAGGCTCAGGATCTTAGGATGATAATTGGATTTAATTCTGAATGGTGCAGAAAGTGAAATCTTTCCAGCAGAGTTTATTGACGTCTTTGCTATATATTTAAAAGCCTCTGAAGCTTCCTGTATTGTTTTCAGGTATTTAGGGGAAGCTTTAACAAGACCTTTATTAATGAGGGTAGGGAGCCAGTACTCCTGCCACCTGTCTCTCCACGTCTGGCCACTTCCCGTTACTCTAGTGAAGGTCCTGTTGTATTGATTCAACGGCAGACCATTCAGGTATTTGTCTCTGTAATGTAAGAAATCAAACATTATATAGCGTATGAAAGAACAGCAAACATAGTGCCGTTATAATAAATATATTCTGCTGAAAAACACGTTGTTATACGGTGTTGAGTTAGTGGCACTAGTATACCTTGTTCAGGACTTTAAACGATGCATAAAAAAGATGATTTATGCGGATACTGTTCATCAAAGACTCTCAGGTGTTTGTCCTGAGGAAAATAAGTCAAAAGTACCTGGAGACATGAAGGAACTTTTTTTTGTCATAATGATTGAATTAAATGAAGAATGATGCGAGGGATCTAGATAAGTAACATAACGAAGTACTGAATGTCTGTCGTGGATAGACGGTAATTTGTTGAGTCTTTCATAGCGAGAGTGAAACATGTGTTAGCGAGGCGGAGGACTGAATGCTTGAAACTTAATAACTACACAACTAACATAAAATAGTAAGGTTACAAGTTTGAGCAAAGTTCATAACCAAATACAGGAGATAGATACAAATAAGTTGCTGGAGGATCGGCTATATTTACACTTTCATTTTTCCAACATTCGCGGCCTGAGATCCAATTTTCCTTCTGTTGGAACACCATCTATTAACCTCTTCCCCCGACCTCTTATTAATATCTGAACTTCAACTGACGAAAGCAGCTGCGCCCAAACCTTTTCAAGTCTCCAACTACAACCTTTATACCTCTTTCCGTTCTAAGGGAGGTGTATGCGCCTACTGCAACACACGTACACCTATAGCCCGACTCACGGATCTCGAGTCTTCCCTTTATGATGTCATCTGGCTCAAAATATCTCTACTAAGTATGACTATTTTCCTTTGCTTTCTATACTGTTCTCCCAACTCTACTAATTATTTTAAACTCTTTGAGTATCTCACTTCTTGCCATGAGTCGTTGCTATCCACACACCCCAACACCGAGATCCTCTACCTAGGGGATTACAATGTACATCCCAGAGAGTGGCTTGGCTCTGCTAGGGATGACCCAGGTGGAGCTGAGGCACTCTCTTTTTCTTTACTTAATGATTTGGAACAAATAATCAAACACCCTACACGCGTTCCTGATCGACATGATCAACTTGCTAACATTCTTGATCTTTGTTTTACCTCTAACCCCTCACACTATTCATACTCAATTTCTGTCACCTTAGGGTCTTCTGATCACAATCTTATTTCTATTAAATCAAACTGGGCACAACCACCTCCCCCACCCCCCTCTAAACGTCAACTATGGCACTATCGGAGGGCAAACTGGCAACCCTTGCGAAGAATTCTTCGCCGACTTTCCTCGGCTGTGCTGACAGCATTGCTGGGGTTATACGGGTTATCCCATCTTCTGCCAAAACTTTCATTTTACAATCATGGTTTGATCGCTCCTGCTCTCTTGCTTGCATGGTGAGAGATAGGGCATATCGAGCTATGAAACTATCTCCTTCTCCTATTACCCACACCTTTTTCATTACTTCTAGGCATCGTTGTAAAGCTATTCTTCGTAGAGCCAAGCGGAATTATATAAATAGAAGCATGCTGTCCTGACTAACTCTTCTTCTCGTAAATCCTTCTGGTCCTTAACCAAAAACATCTGTAATAACTTCTGCACTCCCTCTTTTCCTCCTCTCTTCCGACCTGATAACTCTATATCCAACTCTCCCCCTGATAAAGCCAATCTCTTTGGCACCTTATTCTCCTCTAACTCCACCTTAGACGATTCCAACTCTATCCCTCCTACCCCTGCACCTCCTACTGAACCTATGCACTTTCCTATAAACCCCACTCGCAGGGTTGCTGGTGTGTTATCCAGGTTGGATGTGAATAAGGCGCATGGACCGGACGGAATACCCCCTCGTGTTGTGAGAGAGTGTGCTGAAGCCCTGGCCCCTGTGCTTCCTCGCCTCTTTTGCCTTTGCCTCAAAACCCAAACTTTTCCTTCTTCTTGGAAGCATGCCTTGGTTCAGTCCATCCCGAAGAAGGGTGACCATTCTAATCCCTCTAACTATCGCCCCATTGCCCTAACTTCATCCCTCTCTAAGATTTTCGAAACTATCTTGAACTCCCATTTTCTCCGTCACCTTGAACGCCTTTCTCTTTTGTCGGATCACCAGTATGGCTTTCGCCAGGCAAGATCTACTGGTGATCTGCTCTCCTATTGCACCCATCTTTGGTCATCCTCTCTTAGGGATTATGGGGAAACTCTCGTCGTGGCCCTCGACATCTCCAAAGCCTTTGACAGGGTATGGCACAAGTCTTTGCTGTCTAAACTTCCCTCTTATGGTTTCTCTCCCCCACTTTGTTCTCTAATTTTTAGCTTCCTTGAGAACTGATCCATGGCAGTTGTTGTCGAGGGATCGACCTCTTGCTCTTTATCAATGATTTACTTCACACTACAACTAATTCTATCCATTCTTACGCTAATGATTCTACTCCTCACTCTCCTTCACATTTTCCCCTTCCTCCTAATTCTCAAACTAGATCTGTTTCTAGAGCTGATATCATTACATTTATCAGTGCGGATCTGCGCAGCATCTCCGAATGGGGAGGTACAAACTTGGTTAAGTTCAATAGTAATAAAACTCAGTATTTACCAATTACACTCTCCAAATTAGATGATTTCCCACCAATCACATTTCAGGACGTAATCATTCTGCCAAATTCTAAAATAGATATGTTAGGCCTCACCATTTCCTCTAATATGTCATGGAAGTCACACATCCTCAACATTGCTAAAGCTGCCTCCCGAAAGCTGGGAATGCTGTACAGATGCCGTAGCTACTTCACTCCTGAGCAGTTGCTTCAAGTATGTAAGGGATTCATTCGTCCTAACTTGGAGTACTGCTCTCATATCTGGGGTGGCTCCTCTTCTGTCCAACTATTAGATAGGGTGGAATCAAAGGCATTTCCTCTTATTAACTCTCCTCCTTTAGTTGATAATCTCTCTTCCCTTTCTCTTCGCCACAATGTTGCTTCACTCTCTCTCTTTTACAGGTACTTTAACGGGCAATGTTTGATGGATTTGGCATCCTGTGTACCGCCGGCAAGGCCGTGGGCTCGTAACACTCGTCTTGCCATTAAGAAGAAACAATAAGCCCTGGGTGACCATAGGCTGGTTGATCTCTATGGGGTGGGGGGGGGGGCGGGCTGAGGTTGTAGTAATAAACAAATCGATTTAAACTATTGAGCTGTTCTGTATGATTGACCCCCAGTGTTGGGTGAATAAAGGCGGCAGCACACTGGGCACTTTCACTTTCTTCCCAGCATGTTTGGCAAACCGGTCCGGTCAGCAAAACAAAGAGACGTTTTGCGTCACACTGGGATGTTTTGTTGACGCGTCTGCCCAACGCAACGAAAATATACAACAAAGCGTCTAGACGAGGTTCACCATGGATCCCGTTACTGCAGTTGAGGCCTTGCAGGGTTGTGCTATAGTTCTTCAATTGCTGAAGCAAGTGAGGCGTCTGCAAAAGCTAAAGAAAAGACAATGGGTGAGTCGTCAAGTTTCTTTAAAAGTGCCGGCGGCTGGCTGGTTAAAGAAGGCCCTGAATAATGATTTAATAATACTAAAGAAGTTTTAAAGTGACGAATAAATTGATACATGTCACCGTTTATGTGCTATATTTTAAATTACTATTGTTTCATGATTTATTTAAATTTTTACTTGAAATTATATGAGGCTCATTTGAGTATTAATCAGGCCAGCAAAGATCTCTGCCAAACCCTTGTCCATTTCTAGCAACAGCCGAAATCCTGCTGCTTGCTGTGCGTTTAAGCCAACAGCCAGCAAAACGGGTTACATGTTTTGGAGGAAAGTGCCCAGTGTGCCGCCACCTTAAGAGTATTGAAGGCTAGACAACAACAACTGGCGGATGAAGACGACCAAGAGGGTGAGGCTGACAGGAGGAGGAGGACACCTACCCGTATCTCCCTTTATCTCTCACAGTGAGGAAAGAAGGCGATAACGAGACCCTTTGAGTGGGTGTTGATGGGTGACTTGAAATACTGACGCTCTGAATGACATCATGAGAGTAGTTACTGTCAACATACCTGTAGACTGAGGCGAGACGAGCAAGTGGATGCCTCACTACCAAGGTCTTGAGGTCTTTTCGGCTCCCATTGTTTATCTTTCTCAACTTTTCCAATAAGTACCTCCAGGTAATCGAGCCTCCCTGAAGGTGAACAGGTAAAATGTTAATTAATCTCTTATTAGATTTATGTTGTTGATGTATTGAAAATTTTCACAAATTATCTTGGACATATTATTTTTTTTTTTACATGAACTTAAGTGTACCTTCAGAATCACACACGTTATGGTTAATTCAAGTTCGCTAAATACAAGTTACGGTTAATTCAGGTTACGGTTAATTCAGGTTACGGTTAATTTAGGTTACGGTTATGAATTATCCAACCAACCTTAGGAGCGACACACACTGGAAATGGTCTAGTTAACGTGTGTTTCTCTATCGTCCAGGGTCGGTAGGGTGCAAGTTGTTTCACCTCAGATCGTTGACATTCCTGGAGCAGGTGTTCAGCTCTCGCTCTTACCACCTGTCCGATTGACTCTTCCGACTTCGTATCTGACTTCTCTCTGCTGAATTCTGATAAGTTTGATATTCCGTTTAGTGTCTCGTCATTGTTCCGGAACACGTGTGAGGGCTTCGTGTAGTCATTTGTGCTGGTTGGGAGCAAAGTTGACGTCCCTAGGGTTTGCTCCACCCTTACCTGTGATGATGGCGATTCTTCCTGAAGCTCAGCTGTGCTTAACACTCTCGTTGTCTGTTCGTAATAAATTATAGAATGAGGATCGATTAACTGGTAAAAAGATTATTGACTTATTCATTAGCTATTTTAGTTAATTTTTGTTACTTACCTTAGACTGTCTCACTGAGTCTTATCCTGAATAAATTATATCCACCAATAAACGACTCTTCTCGTCACCCATATAGCTGTAGAGACTTGAGTACAGGTAACCCTTAATAAACTTATACTTCAACCAGCCAGGTGCAGTAAGTAAACAGAGACACTCACCTGTGATGAGACGCAGTGAGCTGTAAAGTGAACAGAACTGCTTTTGTTTTTACCTGAGGAGCACAGTGAGGATTACTTTACTGTTCCCGAGGAGTAGTAGAGTACGCGAGGGTGACCTTACTGTCTTCTGACTGTGGTCCTGCCTGTCACCTGTAGTGCCTGATAGCTGTGGTCCTGCCTGTCACCTGTAGTGCCTGATAGCTGTGGTCCTGCCTGTCACCTGTAGTGCCTGATAGCTGTGGTCCTGCCTGTCACCTGTAGTGCCTGATAGCTGTGGTCCTGCCTGTCACCTGTAGTGCCTGATAGCTGTGGTCCTGCCTGTCACCTGTAGTGCCTGATAGCTGTGGTCCTGACTGTCACCTGTAGTGCCTGATAGCTGTGGTCCTGACTGTCACCTGTAGTGCCTGATAGCTGTGGTCCTGATAGCTGTGGTCCTGCCTGTCACCTGTAGTGCCTGATAGACTGTCACCTGTAGTGCCTGATAGCTGTGGTCCTGACTGTCACCTGTAGTGCCTGATAGCCTGCCTGTCACCCCTGTAGTGCCTGTGCTGTGGTCCTGCCTGTCACCTGTAGTGCCTGATAGCTGTGTGCCTGCCTGTCTCCTAGTGCCTGATGCGTGCCTGCTCTGTCACCTGTAGTGCCTGATAGCTGTGGTCCTGACTGTCTGATAGCTGTGGTCCCTGTGTAGTGCCTGATAGCTGTGGTCCTGCCTGTCACCTGTAGTGCCTGATAGCTGTGGTCCTGACTGTCACCTGTAGTGCCTGATAGCTGTGGTCCTGACTGTCACCTGTAGTGCCTGATAGCTGTGGTCCTGCCTGTCACCTGTAGTGCCTGATAGCTGTGGCTGAGGTTGCGCGCGCGTGTGTGTGTGTGTGTGTACAGTAAAAGAATGAAGTATCTCTCCAGCTTTGGCCGAATATAATGAACCCTTGGCCGAAGTATAATGAACCCTCGGCCGAAGTATAATGAACCCTCGGCCGAAGCATAATGAACCCTTGGCCGAAGTATAATGAACCCTTGGCCGAAGTATAATGAATCCTTGGTCGTAGTATAATGAACTCTGACTACCCAACACAGTGAAAGGTGTCACTGTCGACCCCCTGGAAGATAACTTCATTCTCCCGCTGTACATTACCTGGTCACTGAAGTAGGTGAGTACCACCATACTGATCACGGTGGCAGCCGTCACGAACAGAGACACTTGCTTTCTCTGCATCATCGTCGTCTTCTGTCTCACTGTTCAGTATAACTTGACCGTCCTTGCTTGACTCTCGCTGGAAATTAATACATGTACGGTCAGCAGCAGTAATTGTACCCTCCCCTATAGTAGCCGGAGCCACAGTCAATGATGGTCGATGGTAACACAGTGCCACACCACCACCTACGATAGTTTCACAAGTACCCAGCGTCAATGCCACAATCTCCTGACCATTGAGGGACTGTTATACACGCCCTTTGTGACCTCTACTCTGTAATCCTTTTGTGCTACCGCTCACAGGATGAGTATGGGTGCACAATAAACTAACGACTGTAATTGGCACAAAAAAAAGAGATTAATAAAGTGATGAATTATTGTGTTGATAAATGTTTGTGGTTGACGAGTGTGGAGCTGAGGAGGACAGGACTCTTGTGGGTAACTGTACAGAATGATCACAACATTATTACACTGTGCTGTTACTCCGACCCGTCTACCTGTTCTAATCTGAAGTGGTGAACCTGGGAGATATCTGTAAGGCTAAAACTATATACTTTTTGGATGTTTTTCCGTAACTGTATTCCAGAAGATGTAAATAGTAAGTGTTTGAACCATTTTGTTCACCAATTGTTACCTGAATGTTTTATGAATCACTTGTCATAAACCTATTGATAGCTATTGAGTGTATGTTGGTCAGTGGTGTTAACGTGGGGGGGGGGTCCAAGTGCTGATATTATATTGTTTCCACCAAAGAAAGCAATAACAAACGTGATTGATCTTAATAATACATAAAAATGGTTGACCCTCGTGTAACGAGGATGGCCGGCCCAAAGGCCCACCTAGGCGTGAGTATGTTAACGAGCTGCATGACCCAATGTCAAGGAATAGTCCGAGAAGACTGGACAACTCGCCAACTGCACTGGCTAACTATTACCCCGGAACACGATCCGCAAATCAATTAACATCCAGGTTCCCAATTACTGCTGGGTAGACAGAGACAAGTGGCGTAAAGAAACTTGCCCAAAGTTTCACACTGCCCGGGGATCGAACCCGGGTCAGCTCGCTTGCGAGGCGAGCACAATGACCATTACACCACAGGTCGACACGATAGACCATAATAAGACACCATCGACTACAGTGTCAGCTCCAGCCACCGTCACCATCACGTAATGTCTCGACTTTTCAACATGCAAGGTTCAGAAAGGATTTTTTTTGGTATAGTTTAACTAAATACCTAAAGTAACTAATTACTCTCACAATCAACTTATATCCCAGGAAATTATAAGAAAATTATAATTGGTGATATTATTTATAGGTGATTTAAATGCGGTAATAAGTGTGTGGTTTCTCCTTCATTTCTTGCCACCTTAGTTTTACGTTAAGAGGAGAAAAAACACCAAGGCTTCTCCTCCCTTGGTGTTGAAAGGTCAAGTACAACGTTACCACCCGACAGAGGTGAAGCTGGACGACTAATTTTACACCACTCAATTATTATAAACTTCATCTTTCCTTTTTGTCGTCTTTTTTGTTTGTCTCTTTTTGCATTTACTTATTCTCATCCTAAATTTAAGCCTCTTCCGTGCTCCAACAAAATAGACATAGTAACTAGTTTATACATCAACAGTCGGCACAGTTCAGTGTTGGGTTTGTTCTCTGTATCTGAAGCAGGTGTTGTTCATGGGTAGTTCGAACCGAGTTATAGTGCTGAGCGTAACCGTATGGCTGGTCACTTGGCTCTCTTCCTCTGATCCAGTTGGTCGTCTGATATCTTTATTTAGTCATGGTCACGTTGGTGTGAACTGCTGCACTCATAGCCCTGTACAGTATGTCACCACCCCAGCTAGGACACTGTCAGCCCAACCACTTGTTCCTCCCAGGTCCATTACCAAGTACCTGTTCCCGTTAAGAGGATACTTGATCTTACTTACAGGACCCCACTCTTGACATCCAGTGTCCACACTCCCGACAGTTGTTCCGACCGGCAGTCCGGCACTTCCAGGCCACATACAGTAAGTTTATGTTGCTCTGTACTGTGTCCATGCCCATTATCAGTGTAAATACTTGTAAATAGCCATATTTTGTTACCAATATCCATGATCTTGTTCAGTATCCTTGGTGAAAGAGAAAGTGTTCCACCTGACAGTAATCTTTAAAAGAACCAGAGGGCGTTAACATGTAAACCCTGGACACTGTACACACCAAGTAAAGTGTCTGTTGTTAAGAAGTGTGTAGAGCATCATGTGTATATAAGTTTTATTATTGGTAGTATATTACTATTGTTATCTTTAAAAAAAGAAGTGGCTATTCAGCCGTCACCGGTTTAATAGCCTGGTAATTAACCGGATTTTCCATTTTTGTCTACCGTTAATAAAGGTGTACAATAGACGTCCATAGGAAAAGCTTCTGTTTACGTCTTGCCCTGTCAAGCGTAGGTTCACGGCTGAATAGCCGGCTGTGTAGATCAGACTATTCAACCGGTGACGGCTGAATTACCACTGCGTAATATCTAATGAACTAATCATTCCTCGCTGCTGGAAATAGCAAAAAAAATTCTCGTCTCGCCTTGTGACGCGCTTAAAGGCCTTAGTTGTTACGTATAGTAACGTATATAATTTTATAATTTAGTTTAATGTTAGTTGTTTATCCACTTATTTATATATATACAGTAGTAGTTCTATATTAATGTAAAATTCAGTGTAGGGATCGACCTACTTTGTTTTGTGAGTTGTGTAACCTGCGGCACCACAGATTACACACACCTGCTCACTGGTCTCTCGCTAACGTATTATTCTGAAGAAAAAAATCACATATTCCTTAATATGGTGAGTTGCTTTTGTGGTGTTTATTGTACATATTAATGAATTTATCTTCTGTTTAAAGTTACGTTAACCCTCGAGGTATCGGCCGTACAATCTGTCTGGGGTGGAAGACTGAGGTGGGTGAGACATAACGGGGCTTGGGTAGGGAAGGCTGGGGGGAGGAGAGGGTGCTGGAGACGGAGGGAGGTTGCTGGGGGGGAGGAGGAGACGGAGGGAGGTTGCTGGGGGGAGAATACGGAGGGAGGGTGCTGGGGGGAGAAGACGGTGGGAGGTTAGTGATGGGGAGAAGGAAGGGCAGGTGTAGATTGATATGTAAGGATTGTCTTGGGTGGAGGCCGGCTACGATGAGGGACTGAGGGAAAGGTTGTGTTGTGGAGATGAAGAAGTGGTGGAGGAGGAGGCAGAGGAGGTGGAGGAAGAGGTAGAGGAGGTGGAGGAAGAGGTGGAGCAGAAGGTAGAGGAGGTGGAGGAGGTCACTAAAAAAGGACTCTCACCCCAGGCTAATACTCTCTCCAGCCATTTCACTATATAAAAAATGCAATTTGTTTAATTTGGGATTTTATATACAAAATATTTAACGCCACAAAGATACTTTATCCTTTTCCGAATTATTGATACATAATAATACCATAGATGTTATTAATGTATATATAACACAAACCCGTGATCTCTTCATAGAAAGTCTGAGGAAATGATAACGCCCTCAATTCCCTCAGATTATTATCATTTGTTCTTCAGAGAGACAGAACAGTACTTGTCAGTCACCGCATTTCACTCTCAAGGTGGACTATGGCCCGCGGTAAACATACTGGGGGCGGGTACAGTACTGGGGACAGCTACAGTGCTGGGGGCGGGTACAGTGCTGGGGACGGGTACAGTGCTGGGGACGGGTACAGTACTGGGGACGGGTACAGTGCTGGGGACGGGTACAGTACTGGGGACGGGTACAGTGCTGGGGACGGGTACAGTGCTGGGGACGGGTACAGTACTGGGGACGGGTACAGTGCTGGGGACGGGTACAGTACTGGGGATAACAGCGTCATGTTCATCTGGTGTATGGTCAAGTGACTTGTTACAGTATAATGTGCAGTACAGTATTTGTATAATTAAACATACGTATTAGACTGTAATGTGTTGTAATATGGCCATAGGTGTGGTGTGGCCCTAGGTGTAGTGTGGCCCTAGGTGTAGTGTGGCCCTAGGGTGCGTCCACACCAACGCAACGTTGTTGGTAACAAGGGTTGGCAACTACCATATGTTAACACAATTGTTGGCAGCAGTCGTGCTGGGATCATTATAGGCAACACTAATAGTTTCCCCAATTGTTGGTAACACTGGCAGGCGACATGTTGGTAGCAGTGGTGTGGACTACAGGTGACAGGTGTGAAAGATGCTTAGCACACACACACACGCACACACTTGACGTCTACCTGTACGTGTGGACTGTGTATATTTGACCCCTATTAGTTTCTTTCACCCAGACAGTTGTCGATCTTGTACTCCTAACAGTGTTGTATTCATGTGTACTCACCCTAGTGTAGGTCCAGATATAGTGTAGGTATAGTGTAGGTCTAGATATAGTGTAGGCCTAAGTATAGTGTAGGTCTAGATATAGTGTAGGCCTAAGTATAGTTTAGTTCCAGACATAGTGAAGGCCTAGGTGTAGTGTAGGTCCAGATATAGTGTAGGCCTAGGTATAGTGTAGGTCCAGATATAGTGTAGGCCTAAGTATAGTTTAGTTCCAGACATAGTGAAGGCCTAGGTATAGGGTCGGTCCAGAATAGTGTAGGCCTAAGTATAATGTAGATCCAGATATAGTGTAGGCCTAGGAGCAGCGTGAGTGCTATTCTAGGCTTACGTATATAAAGTTACAATGAAATATCAGCACCGACAAACATAACCGATCAGCACACAAGTCTTATACGTCTTATATTTTATGAAGTGAAAGACTAACTCACTAGTGGATGAACGCCACTTCCACACACACACACACCAAGGCTTCTGCCGTAAAAACTCGGCTTCTGGTTTTTTTTCCGGGAATAATAAGCGCGGCAGGGTGACCTTGCTCGGTATGCTCTGAACCTTCACATTTTAACTTTATTGATTAAATGACAAAACAATAAGGCGGTATTTATTGCTAGATTAGGTCAAATAGGTGTAACATTTTAATTAACTTGTGATGACTGATGTGAGCGCTACTGTGTGAACTAATTTATAAACAACGCCTCGACAAGTAGAATCTGTCGAGAGAATTTATACATCGTTAGTTTCACAAGTAAATCGTCATGAAACACGGTGAAATTAAATGTAAATTCTTGACAATTTATTGGTGTGTTTTTACGAATACCGGAATTAGTCTTACAAAATATATTGAATATTTTTTACTTGTTAGTTCAGGCGTGATGTTTACCTCTTCTTAATTAAGGTGTCAAGTTTCCTGTTAATTAATGTTAATATAAAAGTTTCTTAATGTTTTCCATAAATCTTAAGTCTTATATTAATTACTTTTTATTTCCAAACCAGAAGGTGAATAAAATAGGGAATTATTAAACTTTGTGAGAGAATATTAAACTTTGTGAGAGAATATTGAACTTTGTGAGAGAATATTGAATTTTGTGAGAGAATATTAAACTTTGTGAAATAATATTAAACTTTGAGAGAATATGCCTTAATAACACGAAACCATAACATAGAAACTCAAAAAAAATTATAGACTGTGTGAGTTACATGGTGTGTGGGGGGAGAGGGAGTAACAGTGTGTGGGGGAGGGAGTACATAGTGTGTGTGTGTGTGTGGGGGGAGAGGGAGTAACATAGTGTGTGGGGGGAGAGGGAGTACATAGTGTGTGTGTGGGGGGAGAGGGAGTAACATAGTGTGTGTGGGGGGAGAGGGAGTAACATAGTGTGTGTGGGGGGGAGAGGAGTAAAATAGTGTGTGGGGGGGGAGAGGGAGTAACATAGTGTGTGTGGGGGAGAGGGAGTAACATAGTGTGTGGGGGAGGAGTAACATAGTGTGTGTGTGGGGGGGGGAGAGGAGTACATAGGTGTGTGTGTGGGGGGAGAGGGAGTCACATAGTGTGTGTGGGGGAGAGAG